AAAAAAAAGAAGGAAAAAACAACAAAACACAACAAACAAACACAAAAGGATTAGAATTGAATGAGGATAAAAGCAAAGCACGATCAAAGTCAAGATAATTACTCGAGAAAAGTAGAGGAGAGCACAATTAGCACGATAGTGAGGGTTTCGGTCGGCGCGAGCCTTATCAACAGAAGGGAGAACGGAATCAAATTCTTTGCCACCTCATGAGGCTCAGGATGGTTCCAAAGTCGAGATGGCCTCTCGAGGGTGACCTTCTCGACTTCAACAGAGGAGGGGGAAGAGGGAGTGACGGCCTTTCCCTTGTCCATATTCTTCGGGCGCTTAAGCGACTCAGGCACCAGAACAAACCCGGCCTCGTCTTGGGCCCTTTTGCGCGAACATAAAGATTTTTGCTGTTGTGCAGCTGTTGGGATCACCACCTTCGACTTTTTCGCGGCAGTCGTCTCGACTGCCGCCCCCCTCGCACCCAACCCAGAATCATCGTCGGGCTGTTTCGCAGAAGAAGGGTTAACGGACTTAGCACCGCCCTTAGCTTTTTTGGTCTCGAAACGAGCTAAGGCTTTAACTGAAAAAACCAAAGGTAAAACGATTAAAAGGGCGGTGGTCGTTGCTAGCCAAGGCGAGCAATATACACAATAAAAATACCGGGGACACATGATAGCAAATCAAAGACGATATAAACTTACGAGGATCACCAACCAGAGAGGCATCCTCATCAACACAAATCCCATAATGATGTAAGAGAGAACGATCCTTAACCATGAGACGAGCACTCCAGGTACACTTATTTAAGTCGTCTAACATGGCAGCGAATTGGGAGGACTTGGGTCTATTATTCTGATTAACTCTACTGGTTATCCAATCATTACTGTACGGAAATTTGCCAGGGGCAGGTTGGATATAGACAAACTTGGTTTTCCATTCCGTGACATTAGAAGAGAGATCTTCAATAAATGTCACGCCAGGGCGACGACCCAAGCAATTGGCGTCCTTTATGAACCTATAGCTATAACAGTAAAAAAGAAACTCGGGAGAGAAATGTTGAAGCTTTATTTTGAAAATAATTATGAAGGCAACCATGATGCGGATTGCGTTAGGAGAAAATTGGTTTATTGGCACACCGTATATGTCGCTAATCGACAGAAGTTTTGGTTGGATGGGAAATCGCAAGCCGAACATAATTTGGTCGACAAAGAAGGTGAAATATCCGGACGGAGGATGTCTGAAGTCGTCGTTGGGCCCGGGTGCGCACAGCTTCCAGTCAGAAGGAAGTCCGCTGAAAGCCCTAAAACCCTCGACCTCGGCTACAGGGGCATAAGAAAAAAGGTTAAGCACGGCTAACTTGGCCAATGGGCAGGTTAATGTTACAACATATTGGGACTCAAAGGGAAGAGCTATTATTGGGGAAGGTATAGGACTCGTCCTATATACAGGGACGTCTAACAACCTAAGAGGAATACCTCGAGGAAAGATATTAAGTCGGGAAGATTCGGCCTGCAGAGAATTAGGACTTTTGTTAAGGGTGCCCGACAGCAGTGCCTGGTTATATTCGTCCCAATCGATTCCAAAGGGGGAGGTTGTGGAGTTAGGAGAATTCCTCGGCTCGACTGCGGGTCTAAAGTCAATTATTTGAATGGAATCGGATCTTGAATACTCATCGATTTGACGACCAAGGGAACCTGAGACGGGATCAGAGTTAGAATCTAGTGAAAAGCCGAGAAGAATGATCAGTATGATGGAGCATAAAACTAGACATCAGGGGAAAAGAAATATAAGAACATCGACGCAAAAGTGGCTACGGTCGAAAGTCAATTAACTAAGAAAGAAAAGAAAGGAAGAAGCCGCACAAGCAAGGGCGAGGAGTTGGATGAGTATAGTTCGATCGACGTAAAGGTAAGAAGTAGGCAGCGAAGGCCCCAAATCCAGGTCGACTGCCCCTGGCGGGGCTGTCGACTTAGGAGAAACACCAACCGGCACAAGTCAACTTACAGAGATGACGAGTCAACGCTAAGTCTCAAAGCCTACGCAAGAATAAACACTTGGAGGAAGGTATAACATCTATATCAAGGATCTAACAGCGAAAATCGCTAAGAATTATTGAAGAAAAATCCCAAAAAACAACAACCCTTACGAACACCCATATCCAGATTCAAGAAAAAAACAAGATAATAGAGACTCATAAAAGAGATGGTAGGACTTACACATGTTGATTCGCCAGAAAAGTGTGGAGAAGTTCGAGAAGTTTGCCGAAAAATATGAGCACCGGGGAGTTGTATGCTTTATTGCCGGAAGAAAAGAGAAATCTCAAGAATGCTTAGGTGCGAAAAGTGTGGAGAAGAAGAAGGAGAAGATATTTATAAAGGAAACCGCAGGACCTGATTCAAATGTTAACTACCCGACTGAACAAACACAAATGACGACATCATTAAGTCGACATTCCCGAAGTCGACTTGGGTCATCGGCCATTTGAATACCATCATCGGCCTGATAACGGCCTCAAGGCGACTCTAGGAAGTCGACTGAGTATAAGACGATTTCTCTCAAGAAGACGAGCAGATACTCCAGGAGCCCCGGGCGCATATATAACCCTAGCTCGACTTGGCAAGGCCCCAAGACGACTTACAAGACCTCCGACGACTTGATACACTTGGACAGAGGGAGAATCTCCAAGTGAGACTACGTTCACATAGGATAAGAAGGAATCTAGATGCTGACTCAGGAGTGGGCGGAATGCAAAACGACCAGGGCATTTTGGACATTTCGTGTAAGTCGGCCAGGGCGTTTTAGGTATTTCGAGTAAGTGTTCCTATTCCTATATAAAGGAGCTAAGGTAACCCCAAACCCTAACTTTCATTCTCTCCATTCATTATTCAGCTGCTGCTCCCACTGAGCAGAGCTCATCTTCTTCCCTCTCACTGACTTGAGCGTCGGAGGCTCTTCACCAGAAAGCACTTTCGGTGTTGAGTTCTTGCAGGTGTTTGCAGCGCTCACGGACGACTTGGAGACGGTTTAAATAGACCGGAGCTCATTTCCACCGGATCACTCCAGATCTAAGAGAAGACCCATCAGGAGGTATCATGGTCAAAGTTCATCTTCTTTATTTCCCAAAATGCTTTATGCTCGATCTCAACTGGGAG